AAGTAAGCAAAAGTAAGGCAACGCTTGCCTTGCTTATTGAATAATTTACCACTGGCCGTTGTGGAAAACAGTGTGGTGGTTCCTCAAAAAACTAAAAATAGAACTACCATATGACCCAGTAATTCCACTCCTAGGTATATACCCAAAAGACTTGAAAGCAGAGACTCCAACAGACACTTGTACACCAATGTCCACTGCAGCATTATTCACAAAAGCCAAAAGGTGGAAACAACCTAAATGCCCATCAAGAGAAACAAAATGTGGTACAAATATACAATGGAATACTACTCAGCCAGTAAGAGTAATAAAGTCTTGATACGTGCTACAATACAGATGGAGCTGGAAGACATTAAACTGAGTGAAATAAGTCAATCAAAAAAGGACAAATAGTGTATGACCTCACTTACATAAAAAGATAAGAAAAGGCAAATGTATAGAGAACAAAGTTTATTAGTGGTTACCAGCGGTGAGAAGGAAGGAGAAATGGGGAGTTAACTGTGAGGGAGATATCATGTTGATTGAGGGTACAGTTGCACAGTCGATTAATGTAATTGCTGTCAATAAGTTGTACACCTGTAAAAAGGTGAATTGACTAAAGTTGTGTGAAAGACATATTTACAACAATGACAAAAAAAAAAAAAACAGTAGCTACTGAGGTTGCTTATGTACAACCAAAAACCTCATGGGATTTAGTTCCTTGGTTTGGAAGTTTAGGGTCATGATTTCATGGGACACCCCACTTAATTAGCCTAATAACATATTTAGTGCTTCTACTCTACCTCTGATCAATATATAGTGCCTGGTGTCTTACAAGCTTGCAAGCAGCCATCCAAGGCACAACAATTGGTCTCTATTCGCCTGGAACAACAGAGGAAGAAAGAGAGTCAGGAACAGGAGGAGGATATGGAACGTGTGGTTAATTGCCTCCATGAACAACTGCCTCCTTTGCCATGAGACCAGAAGAACTGGATGGTACCTGGCTACCATTACTAAACATTCTGATCAAAAATTCCACAGAAGAATCCTGATCAAAAGAGGTAAAATGTGGAATGGAATTTAAAATTCTCACAGACTCCAGACTTTCTGGACCCATGAAGGTTGGATGAATCCCTAAAACTACTGCCCTGAGATAATCTTTAAAGCTTAAACCAAGAATATCCCCTAAAGACTTCTTAAAATCAAACAAGAGTTTAGCTTAACTAGTAAAAAATATCTGCCTTGAGCATTATGCACTTTTAAGAACTATCTATATGGGCTCAAACTGACAACAACAACTCAAAAGGAACCTTAGGGGACAGTGAATTTATGTTAATAGGGGAGTAACAACTTGGAAAAGGAGGGTGAGAGCAGTTATACAACTCAAAGAATGTAATCAATGTCACTAAATGGTACATGTAGAAACTGTTGAATTGGTGTATGTTTTGCTGTACACATTCTCAACAACAACAAAAAAATTACATATAAAAATACCAAATGAGCCATTTAAAGAAGAAAGAAAGAAAAAACAAGGCTATCTTAATACTTAGAGTTAGGAAGGTAACTACAAAAAAACTAAATACAGGAAAATTAGAACTGGATGTTTCTAGGAAATGACAGCTGGGAGGTAAGAGAGGTAAAACGTTCTTCTCCTTTTCATTATAAATCCTTATCTCCTATACTGTTAACCAGGTGTATTTATTACATTGATAAAAAAAATTAAAAAGAGATAAATACTTGGAGGAAGGGAAGAGGAAGAGATGAGTAGGCAAAGGGGTAGAATGGAGGAAGGAAAGAGGAAGAGATGAGTAGGCAAAGGGGTAGAAAATTTTATTCTTTCCTAAATGAATTTTTAATTCTTTAATTAAATGGTACTTACCTATTATCTTCTGTGGTTTTATTCCTTTCCTCTTTTACCCTATCACCATTTTTCTTTTCTTTCTCTGTAATTTCACCATGATAAACCTTGTCTCCAGTAAGCCTGAAACACAAGAGACAGCTGTGTTACCAGCTTGCAGTTCCACGGCAAATTCAAACATGGATCTCATAACCATGACAACCCTAGAAAATATTTTTATTTGCCTCTCTGATATGCAGAAAGAAAGCATTCCAGACCAGGGCACTATGCTTGAATCATTTATTTCATCCTAGGGCAATTTTCATCAGGCCTGAATGGTAAGACCCAACCCACAGTGCCTCTGTGATTCTCTAGGAGTAAATCTCAACATCTACTCAAACAAACTTCCATGAAGATTCATCAACTTGACTCTTGCCCAAACTGAAAATTAAACCCAAACGCCAACTCTTACATATCTTTACCACTTAGCTCAGAACAAAAGAAGAGATACATTTAACCTAGTATAGCAATCGTTTCATGTTCTCTCATCATTCAGATCTCAACCATCACATTTTCTAAGTTCCCTCCCTGACTTCCCTATCTAAAGAATCTCCTCTCGATCCTGCTTGCTGTTCTGTCATCTTTATAACCTACACTACTGTCTGAAATTATCTCATATGTTGATTTGTTTACTTGCTTATATTGACTGCGTTCTCCCCCACTGGAATTCCTGGAGTGGAGCAACATTGTCTTTTTCATAGCAATATACCCATCACCTGGAAGAACATCTGGCCCATAGTGGGCATTCAGTAAATATTTACAGGCATGAAGAAGGAGGTCTGGAGGGACAGAAAGGAGGAAGAGAAGAAAAGAGGGAGGAAGGAGGGAAAGAAGGAAGGAAGAAGGAACGGAGGAAGGGAGGGAGGGCGAGGGGGAAGGATCAACTTTCTGATCCGTATACACTAAAACCTGTGAAAGCCGGAACCTGTGTAAGGCAGAAATCTGTCAGAGAAGGAAAACTCAAATATTTTCCCTGTCAAAGGTGGAAAACTTTCAAGACCCAGAAAAACAAGGCAGTCCCATCAAGTTCTGGCTCTCACAGGTTTCACTGTACAGTCCATTCTGGCGTATAAATTCTCACAGCCAAAGACAGGCTCTTGGACCTCACATCATCTCAGGATGACCCTGACCACCCACACAGAAATCTTCATTCCAAGACTTATGTCCAGTGTGTCTGTCACCTACATAGTGAAGTTGGTGATGAAAGCTGCAGCTGGAATCTGCATCTGGAACTCAACTTCCTGGTCCTCTGAAGCTCTATTCAGCATTCTGCAGGAAACTGTAGTGAAGGCATAACGAGAAACAATGGTCGACTTCACGGAAAACTCTGTCATCAAGGGTTTGGTTTTCTGTTGGAATTAAAACACACAGTATTCTTAGTGATGCATTAAAACATGTGACAAAATATTTTGGAGTAGGTGTGGGGTTTGGTTTTGTTTTTTTTCCCCCATAAGGGAAATATTCTTCAATTTGGGAACCTTTGACTTATCATTCCTTTCTTCTTTCTTTGTCTTCTTATTTTCCCATGTTTTATTCCCTCCACTTGTAAAACAACTTTGGTGGAACAATCAATTCTTGACATGGAGGCAAATCTTTTAACCTACCTTTAACAAATCAACACAGTGAAGATTTCCAATTTAACAGAGAATACACATTGCTTAAATACTTTAATAAAATCTTAGCGTTTTAGAAGTATGTTAAATATATAATTCTTCTGTTATAAACTTTTAGATCACATTCACAATATCTCTGAATTGATTAAAATATCAGAACATGCCTAAAGAAATTCTCATATTTTTAAATTTGTTTCAATATCCATTCAGAGGAACTGTAAGCTAGGGTTATTCTATCAGGGCTACAATCCCATTGTGGTGCAGTGGTTAAGAGCTATGGCTGCTAACCAGAAGTTCAGCAGTTGGAATCCACCAGCTGCTCCTTGGAAACCCTATGGGGAAGTTCTACTCTGTCCTATAGGGTCGCTATGAGTTGGAAATGACTTGACAGCAATGGGTTTTGTCTGCTATTAAACGTACCCCAAAAGCTTCTTATAAGGGCAGTAGCTAGATGCCATGAGTTTAGAAGCTTGTTAGAACTATTCAGTACTTTTTCTAGCTTTCACAACAGTGCTACATCTTCTGCTACCAAGAACATAGCAGAAGCCTGAAGAAGGAAACACTAATGAGTAAAGTCACTACTGAGTGATTGCCTCATTCCAGGAGCTGACTAAGCAATTTATATGAATTATCCCATTATAGTCTTGGGAAAGACATGTGAATTTGGTGTTTTTATTCTCATTTCATAGATAAAAGAGAGTCAAGCTTAGAGAGGTGACACATTGATCCAAGCCAGCGAGTAGTAGGGATGGGATTTAAACCCAGCCCCACATGCTCTGTTAGGGACTGAACTGTGTCCCCCAATAATATGTGTTGTAAATCTTAACCTCTATGCGTGTGGCTATAACCCCTTTTGGGAATGAATTTTATTTGTTATGTTAATAAGACAGGATTCCTGTAGGGTGTACATTAAGGCAATCTCTTTTGAGATATAAAAGAGATTTAATACAAGCTAGCAAGGAGAGACAAGGAAAGAGAGATGCCAAGCACGTGACGAATGCCCAGGAGCAGAAGCTCAAAAGAGACAAGATCCTTCTTCCAGAGCTGACAGAGAAAGCCTTCCCCTAGAGCCAGCACCTGGAATTTGGACTTCTAGCCTCCTAAACTTGAGAAAATAAATTTCTGTTTGTTAAAGCCATCCACTAGTGGTATTTCTGTTATAGCAGCACTAGATAACTAAGGCAAAATTTGGTACCGGAAGAGTGGGGTGCTGGTCTAACAGATACCTAAAATGTGGAAGAAGTTTTAGAATTGGGTAATGGGTAGAAGCTGTAAGAGTTTTAAGGTGCCTAATAGTAAAAGCATAGATTGCCTTGAGGAGACTATTGGTAGAATTACAGACATCAAAGCAATTATGGTGAGGGCTCAGAGGAAGTGAGGAGAGCTACAGATAAACTCTCTTTTGTCTTAGAGAACATATATGGCAACCAGCAACAGAATGTTGACAGAAATATGGATGTTAAATGTACTTCTGGTGAGGCTTTAAAAGAAAATGATGAACATGTGATTGGACAATGGAGGAAGGGAGATGCTTTTTATGCAGTGACAAAGAACTTGTCTGAATTATGTTCAAATGTTTGGTGGAAGGTAGAACTTGTAAGTGATGAACATGGATATCTGGCTGAGGAGATTTCTAAGCAAGATCTTAAAGGGGTCACATGGTTTCTTCTTGCTGCTTATAGTAAAATGTGAGAGGGAAGAGATGGACTTAAAAATGAACTGTGCAAAATGGAAACAGAACATAAAAGATTTGGAAAATTCTGTTGCACAAACTAAGGACACATGTCCTAAAATGTTCACCAAGGACATGGGTACATAATCTTTTGTTAAAGAGATTAAGTCCATGAGTGATGTATGTAACCAACTACCACAGCAGAAAACTCATCAGCTTAGAGTGAAGGGGACAGAGAAAGGACAAAAGGAAAGAATACTGTGTGCCTCTTGGAATTCTACAGGTAGGAAACAGCCCAAAGGAGCTATATCTGTTGTCCTCCAAGAAAAGAAAAGGGACCATCCTTGGAGCAGCTCAGAAATCAGCAGAACTGCTGGAAGGAGCATGGGAAGCAGGGCCTTCTCAGTTTCAAAGCGTGGAGCCATGGTCTTCTGGATCTTAAAGGGTGAGGCCACAGCCTCCTAGGTTTCAAAGAGTTGGATCTTTGCCAACTCAGTTCTGGAGTGTGGGGCCACCACTCAAAGCTGAGGAGGTGGGGCTGCCATGCCCAAGGGCCAGAAGAACAGAGTCAGCTAGAGCCACGGGGGTGGGGTTGCTGTCCCAGTGAGTTTGGAAGGTGGAGCTGAAGCCCAAGATTGAAGGGCCTCCACCCAGAATCCAGAGGGTGTAGCCAACACTCAGAGTCTAGAGGGCAGGGCCCTTGCCCAGACAGTCCCAAAGAACAGAGGATTATTTTCAAGCCTTGAGAACTAATGTAAATTGTTATGCTGGGTTTTGGACTTGCTTGGTGTCCACTATCCTTTCTTTCCCTCCAATTTCTTCCATTTGTAATGGAAATTTCTATCTTGTGCCTGTTCTACCATTGCACTTTGGAAGAAGATAACTTGTATTGTAGATTTCACAGGTTCACAAATGAAGAGTAATTTTTTCCCAGGATGGAATATACCTAAGGTCTCACCCATATTTGATTTAGATGATTCAGAAGATTAGATTTTTGACTTGGAGTTGACTTAAGACATTTGGGATGACGTGATGGGGTGAATGTGTTTTGCATGTGGCAAGGACATGAATTTTGGAATGTTATGGATTGAACTGTATCCCCCCAAAATATGTGTTGTAAATCTCAACCTCTATGCATGGGGTTATAATCCCATTTGGGAATGAGTTTTCTTTGTTATGTTCATAAGACAAGATTTGTGTAAAGTGTACCTTGAGTCAATCTCTTTTGAGATATAAGAGATTAATCACAAGCTAGCAAGGAGAGACAGAAGAGAGATGACAAGCACATGAAGACTGCCCAGGAGCAGAAGCTCAGAAGAGACAAGGACCTTCTTCCAGAGCCGACAGAGAGAGAAAGCCTTCCCCTAGAGCTGACACCCTGAATTTGCACTTCTAGCCTCCTAAACTGTGAGAAAATAAATTTCTGTTTCTTAAAGCCACCCGCTTGTGTTATTTCTGTTATACTAGCACTAGATAACTAAGACATGCTTCAAAGTCCACGCTTTTCACCATTATACTGTGCTGCCTGTCAACAGTTACTCGACATGTGTTACTCATCTTCATGTACTCAAATCCCAGCATGGTCTTTAGCACATAGCAGGCTCTCAATAAATGATTACTGAATGGAACTGGGCTACTCTGATAGGATTCTCCTCTCTTCCACTGGTACTGTGGCCTCCGTGGTCAATGTTTATTTCAGCCCTTACCAGCTTTATTAATTTATGTCAAAGTGTATAGCTCCTGTGATATACAAAGATGATAATAAACCCTGTGTCAAAGGAGTTACCATAGAGGGTTATTCTATTTAAACAAATATTTACCTAAGACGTTTGAGTCAAATCATGCTCTGCACAGTCAACCATAAAAAGCTTAAGAGATATTTATACGATCTATTAGAGAAGTGGAGCTGAGATTTATTCAGTACAATGCATATCGGAGAACACACTCAAACACCCACAAGACAGTGAGCTGCAAGGATCATAGCCAAACATATGAGTGAAGCCAGATAATGGGTGGGGTGCTAGATGCGACGTCTAAGGACTATTCATCTTTCTGACAGTTTGTGGCTGAGCTTCCATTCTTGGTAACTCAGAAAGATAAAGGCAAAAGAGAACGAGCTTAGGGAAAAAATTAGGAGAACGTGTACCTTCCTTAGAAAGTTGGAAAGATATAAACATACAGAGTTCAGATTAAGCAATGATCAAATTGGAAAAAAAGAAAATCTGAAAGTATGTGAAAGATTTTCACCTAAAAGAGGAAAGGAAGCTCTTTGATTTGATCTGAGGAGGAATTATCTGAAAGCAATGATTCTCAAAGTGTGGTCTCCAGACCAGGAGCATCAGTATTACCTGGAAACCTGGTAGAAATGTATATTCTCAGATCCCATTCCAAATTTACAGAATCAGAAATTCAGGGGATGTGGCCAAGCAATCTGTGCTTTAACAAACCCTCCAAGTGATTCGGAAGCTCAGATTTGAGAACCACTATTTTAAAGTAAAGAGAGCCCCGGTGGCACAATGGTTGAGCACTTGGCTGCTAACTGAAAGATTAGCCACTCCATGGGAGAAACATGTGGCAGTCTGCTTCTGTAAAGATTTAAAACCTTGGAAACCCTGTGGGGCAGTTCTACTCTGTCCTATAGGGTCACTATGAGTCGGCATCGACTGGATGGCAATGGGTTATTTTTTTTTTATTTTAAAGTAATGTGATGAAGTGGCCCTCCTCATATATTTCTTCATCTGTAAATTCAGAGGCCTTGAATAAATCACTACGATTATATCCTCTACTGAGATCCATGAATCTAAGATAAAGCCAGAAATAAGAAATAAAACCTTAGAAAATGTTTTAACTTGGGTTTTAAGAAACTTTTCCTAAATTCCGAAAAACTAGATTGTAGAATATTCTCTCATGAAAATCTAGTCTCTTTATACCAAAATCGGTCCCTCTACCTAGAAGTGATTTGGATTAAAAAGGGATTCCATATGTGGTTATACCAAATGTTTCTGTTAAATGAGCTCACTAAAAACATTTAATATTTTCCAGGAAAGACAATGAGAATTAGGTT